CAGAATAGTCTGACCTCATTTTCTACTCTTAAGATGCAGGGATTGATTGTGGTGTGAAGAAACAGTGTCAGTCTAACCTCGAAATGTTTTTCCTGCTCCAATAGCTGCATGCAAAAAAACTAAGACTGAACTTTCGTTTCGCACAGGACGTATTGATAGGAAAATAGAGTTCCCTCTACCTGATGAAAAGACCAAGAAACGAATCTTTCAGATTCATACGAGTAGGATGACGTTGGCAGATGATGTGACTTTGGATGAGCTGATCATGGCAAAAGATGATCTCAGTGGTGCAGATATTAAGGTCAGTGTACTTTACCATTGTTATATTTTAAAACACAAACCAAAGTTCATTTTTACTGTATCCAAAAACATTGTCTGTTGAAACTGGTCTCTAATTACCTGTGGCTACATCACTGAAAAACAGCTAGATGGCTTTAAAATACCTTTGAGTGCCACGTACTCAGCTTTACAAATGGGAAACTTCCCAAAATCATAACTAGGAAGTAGCTTGTGTTGATAAGAATACGTACCTGTGTTATCTGAATATGAAATTTTAAAAGTAGCAAAGTGGAAATTAGAAGTGGAATGTGGGATCTTGCACAAACATGCAAGATATCTTAAACATTACCTAAGACAGTGCAGAATGAGAAGCGTTGCTATATACTATGTTGCAAGCAGATAAAAATGCAGCTGTAGATTGGGAAGCTTCAGACATACGTAATCTGCTTTTCTCAAGTAGAAAGAGCCCTTGCTGGAGTTACCTCACTGAGCGTAACCAAGCTGGACTTTACTCCATCACCTCATTGCAGAAGGGGAACGGTCTGCTGTTACAGAGCTGGATGCATCTGTTCCTCACAGCAGGGAAATGCCGCTGTTACGAAGCTACCGTTCTGTCCTGGAAGCATGACTCTGACTATAGAAGGACATGCTCATCTAGCTTTATCCAGATTGTTCTACATGCTTCTGTGCTACTGAACAGCATCCAACTTAAGAATGTAAATTTTGTTGACACTCTTCACTCCTACTGCAGAGTTGGTCAGAGCAGTATGAAAATGCTGCTGTCTTCTGACGTGTGGCCTGAAGGGGCTGCACAGAGCCAGTAACTTATTCTTCCTTTCTCTGGTGCAGGCAATTTGTACAGAAGCTGGATTGATGGCTTTAAGGGAACGGCGAATGAAAGTAACAAACGAAGACTTCAAAAAGTCTAAAGAGAACGTTCTCTACAAGAAGCAGGAGGGAACCCCGGAGGGATTGTACCTTTAAGTCATCTGTCTCTTTGGGGACTATCAGGAACTCTTTCTGGGTTGATGACAGTCTTGTGTAAAACCACATAGTCTAGCTAATTTTCATTCTGGAAGAGGTTAAGTCCTGGTGGGTTGTGGTTTTCCAGTGTAACCACTTCATTTCCCAATAAAACATTTATTTGAATTGAGCTGTTTTGGTGGCAGAGACCTGCTACTTGCATGGAACTGTCTGTTGCTTTAGTCAGACTTATTTCCAAGAAAAAGCGCTAGTGACCCGAGAGTGCTCTTCCTCTGCTGCCAGAACAGTGTGCAGTGAGGAACGCATACGCAGCGTCCCCACCTGTCAGCCCTTGTTGCTGTGGCAGTGTTTTACAACTGCTGTACAATTGCTGCTGTTCTTCAAGTGATTACTTTTCTGTATCTCTTTGCAGGGGCTAAGTAACTAGGACTAGAGTCACTTTTGAGTAACCTCAGTGTCCTAAGTCATACATACATACATAAAAATTAATGAAAACCATGCCATCCTAAGTAACGTTCAGATACACTTTAAAAGTGCCCATCTCTATTTAGCAGTGGTACTTACAAGAAAGCAAGGTGGACATTCATTCGTATTCTTAGTTTCAAGATCTAAACATGTCTGGGTAAGGTAAAGAGTTTATAAATTAGTTTTCCCAAGGAGTTACAGTTCATTACGTAAACGTACTTTCTTAGAGAATGTCTTTAAAATGAACCAGCCGGAGGTTCTACAGCCATGGCAAGATGTAGGTACTGCTAAGGCACTGGCACTGACTAGCCCTGGTGCCAGAGGCACACGGTTTGTGACACTGCAGAGGAATTCAGACTGCAAGTCACAGGCTTGGCATTCTGCAGTGGAGGCTTAAAATGAGTTCTTCCCCTCCAAACAAATCTATTGCCTGCAGCCCCGTCCCCAGAGGAGTTAGAAGGACCCCAGATTTCCAGTTTGCAAAGTCGTAGCGATGTACATACTGCTTATTAGGCATTCTGTGTAGTGTACTTCTGTGAAGTGCTTGTTAAGTTCTAAGTAAGTAATTTCCAAGTGTTACACAATGTGATTTTGAAGGTTTATATAAAGTTCCACATACAGACCACAGTTAAGCTAAGTGCAGTCTTTGTTCTGGAAGTTCTCTGTGGGAGCAGATGCTGGCCAGTAACAGGCATTCGAGTTACACACAGAGCCATCCCTTTCATAACTGCCAGTGCTGCAACAACAATGGTAGCAGCAAGGCCAAGAGATTTTGTTTTTCTATGTAAAAATTATGTGGTTCATTGTTAAAAACAAACCCCACAGACGAATGGATTCTTATTTAATCTGGATCACAGGAATCCTGAAATAGAGTTGGTTTTCATCTGGAGATAGAAAAACAAGGAACGTTTTATTACCCGTTCTTGTAAACCTTATGAGATCTGTCTCCTTGGAAAGGTCACCAAAAGCCAGTGATTTTTTAGCACTTTCTAATCATGGCAGCTGATCTCATCATTGCCTGAGGGGCTGAAGAGCTTTATGAAACGCGGGGCGAGCACGGCTTTTTAATTTGGGACACGGCTGTTAATGCCAGCTAGAAGCAACCCCCACAAAGAGGTCGGTTCAACTGACTGCAGGAAAGCTGCAGACCTGTGTTCTGGTGTACTGTCTGCCACAACAGTAACTGAAAAAGAAACATGTTTGAAAATTAAATTCTTACCTTCTGCTTTCTCTAACATTTCTGATCATGAGAAAGCGAACAGTGAGTGTATGCCCCCTAAGGACAGAAAAAGCTACTGGGGTCTGAATTAAAAGGCAGGATTTACTGGAGCTCCTGGAAGAAGTGAGCGGCCTTGGACCATCCCAAGTGAAGAAAGCAGTGTGAGTGGTGCATGAGGAGGAGCTGTGCAAAGGAAAGGGCCCAGGGGAGAGGACACACGGAAGATAAAAGTGACCGAAACGGAACTCATCCCTGCCATCACTGGAGGTTTTCAAGATGTGACTGGACAGGGTGCTGGGTAATCTCACCTGGGCTCCCTGTCCATGGAAGGTTGGACCAGATGATCTTTCCAGGTCCCTCCCAACTTGGGCTGCTCTGTGATACTATGACTCTCAAGAGAAACACAAGCAGGAGCACAATCAAGCTGCTTCCCTCCCTCTCCATGTCCTTTCCAGGTCTTTAGAGGAAATGGCATTCCGCTTTGATGGGAGAGCTAAAACACACACACCCCCCATTTGCGATGCTGCTGTTCAGTGCACAGAGCAACTCCTACCTCCAGTTCAGGAGCTCTGTCATTTCTGAAAGAAGCATGGATTTTAAAAATAAAATACTTATTTTTTTTACAGAGATGAATCAATTTTATAGCAAAACCACCATCACCTGCAACACATTGAAATTATAGGGCTCTTAGAAAGTGCTGTAATACCGTTTATAATTCTGCATATTCTCTGTAATATTTAAAATAATTTTAGAAAGGAATAAACAAAGTGCAGCCTAAACTAAAATGTATTATATCTTACATTGTGCTGCTACAGGCAAAACCAAGCCACAGGTTGTATGGCTTTGTCCACCCACAGTGTTCTGGGTAATCAGGTGTCACCAGCTGGATGACCTCAATTGCTTTAGTGCTATGAGAGTTAGTTTTCTCCTGAAAAACCTCTGAAAGAGCTCTGGATATTCAGTGGCTGCAGGTAGCCTCTTCCAGATGAAGATCCAGTTTCTGCATACTTGGGTCTCAAGAGCAAGGATGCTAAACAGTCTTTCACACATTTCAGCGTATTCTGTTTTATAAAATAAATACACAGCATAACTATATCTTTAAATAATTACTGTATTTCATCTTACTTCTCTAGGAGCTTGCCTAAAGACTCCTGGAACAGAAGTTACTAATTAAACAGTCATGTCTTGACGACTCTGCCTTCTTTGGTGAGGATTAAATACAGAACAGGCCTCTACTTCTCTTATGATGATTGTCTGTATTTGGGTTGAAAGAGGGTAATCAGTCACAAAAACTTGCTTAAAAATAAGCTGCTTAGAGATGCGTTATGGATACAATTTCCTTTTTTAATATGCTCACAGTTCTAATAAACTAAGAAATAAAAAATAATTCAAGTTCCTTTTGAATTTTCAAATATTTGTATATATTTTTCATAAATATCCTTATTAAAATGGTCATCTGTCAAAACATACAAATACAAGTCCAAAATAGGTGCCTGCTCGAGCAAAGATTTCGCTTTTACTAACAGTTTATGTACAGATGTAACGGCTGTTTGACTTGGTAGTTATATATACACACACAGGCATACCAAGCTGAAGGAAATTACAAAGTCTGCCAACTAGAGAACAGCGGAGCATCCAGCTGGCAGATGTTTATTTCCTGTGCTGCTCACCAAGCCATAGTTGGCATGTACTGAATCTCTGCTGAACTCCAGGGAATGTGATTTCGAACAACAGAATAAGAGATGTGGGCAACATTCAACGGGAGGATATTTATAAGAGCGTATCCTTCTGTGGGAGCCAGCAACGCTTCAGGGAAATGGATGCATTTTTGTGGGCAAGATGCAGTACTTGATTCCAGAACACTTGCAGCTAGTGGAACTCCATTTTTAAAGCATTTTATATAAAAGCTTAAAAAAAACCTCAAAAAAACCTCCCAAACAAAAAAAAAGTACATAGTACCCCAGTCCCAACAGTTCCTGTCTGAAAAAGACAGGTCTAAGTGTTAGTTTTGGAACTCGCTTCTGTACTTCCACCACTCATCTGCAGTCTTCTTTTAAACCTCTAGTAGCAGATCCAGCTCTTCCATGGGTACCCGCACTCTCAATTCTTTTTCAGTCATTAGATCAAGCGTCTCCTGCAGATCATCAGGGAAGTATTCTACTGCATCCAGATAGAGTACCTAGACAGACGAGAACATTTTCTCTGCCATCTGTCTATCACAGCAAGAAACACAGTAAACACAGCATACACAGGCATGACCGCAGGAGTTGCAGGTGCTCCTGCGTAATTTCTTATACAATTAACGAAATACATTTTTATTTGCCTATATATTTCTGCTACTACCATGCTCATGACAAAACATGGTCTGACAAACATGATCACTTCTGGATCACCCAGAGAGGAATTTCTTAACTCTTTGCCTCAGGCAATGCAACACCTTTCTGTCCTGAAATGCAAACAGCACTGACCACCATGATTGTTTCCATTTCAGATGCACTTCTTATGTGCAGAAAATCTTACAGTACTTCTCCTTCAGAAATCTCTCCTTTCATTTGCATATAACTCATTACAACAACTACTAAATTCTAACTTTTTTTTCCTTAAATACAGAACTTCAAAAATTAGAGTATGATGACAGGTTTGTATTTTTTCTATGCTTACCTTTGCCCAAGGACAGTTTTGAAGGGCTTTATAAAACAAGCCTTTACTTTTTTCTTTTTTTCCTAGTGAAGCCTGTGTGAGAAAAAAAATGTTTGTACTTCAATGCAGTTAACAGCTGAAACAACAAAATAGTTATCTCTGAGACAAAGAAATTACTGCTGAAAAGCCCCGTATTCCTCTGCTGAGGAATCCTTACTACCATACGTTGCGGTAGCTATGCAATTTGACAGGTTACACAGGTGATGCCAGTTACACTCTTCCATGTAATCGCAGAGATGTCTTCAAGGAGTTTCAGGGCTTTACTGCTAAGACAAGCAATAGAACAAAGACTAGCAGAAAGAACCGCTGCCGATTATTTCAATTCAAGTCAGTGCCTTTGTCTATATTTGACAATAACACTGCAACGGGCAAGGGTGCAAATCATCGATCCAGACTTACACCTGATAAGCTACTCATATACTACACAAGCATCTTGGGTACAGTGAAGGTGACAATACATTATTTTTGTGCACTGAAGATATCACGCACAGTAGAAGCTTGTTAAGGCTGGATCCTCTTACATACAAAACCAGATGTGTCAAATTAGCATCTATCTGGAAGGAGTTAAAACTTCTTCCTCAAAGTACCTGTTCAACTACGCAATACAAGTACAGAGCACGCAGCTATCAAGAAGTTTAAAGAGAGAAAGGTAGCAGAGGTAAGAGTAGAGTAGTTACAGGTAGAAATAATTATAATTTCTTGTGAAGAAATCATTGGAATTGGGCTACTTTAAAAAACACTTAAACAGGATTTTGTGGCAAATCCAAAAAAAAAAAAAAAAAAAAGGCAGTAATTCCAAAATAGTGAAAATACGTTAAATGATCTTTGGAGAAGAGATCTTCAATCATGAGTTTCCATTTTCTCTTGTTATGACTACATTAGTACTGCTGCTAAAAATCATCAGATTCCCTTGTCAGTTCTTAAAATCTAGACGTTCTTTCCCATATTATTGATACATTGGTTGCAGAAACTTGTGCTGTTCGGGTGTCATCGTCTCCCTTTACTGAACAGCAACGTGTTGCACTTACTGGAAGCCCTGCTGTTAGAGCTCTGCACTAAGATGCATAAACGTCTTTTGCAGCTCTGCAAAGAGCTTTCAGTAGCATTCTGCATCTTCACAGAATCACACAAGTTGGAAGGGACCTCTGGAGACCATCTGCTCCAACCCCTACGCTCAAAGCAGGGTCAACAAAAGCAGGCTGCTCTGAACCATGTCAAGCTAGGGCTTGAATATCTCCACAGATGGAGATATTCTCTTCCTCCATAACCTCTGGACAACCTACTCTGGTGTTTCATCACCCTCACAGTAAAAGGCTTTTTCTTATGTTTAAACGGAATTTTCTATATTTCAGCTTGTGGCTATTCCTCGTCCTGTCACTAGGCAGCACTGTAGAGTCTGGCTCTGTCTTCACACCCTCACAAGAGGTATTTATATACATTGACAGTATCTTCCAGGAGCCTTAACTTCTCCAGGCGGAACAACTGCAAGACTCCCAGCCTCTTCCTGTACAACACATGCTCCAACTCCTTATTCATCTTCATGGCTTTCGGCTATTCAAAGGGACCTGGGCAAGCCAACAGCAGAATCTGGTGCATCAGTCACTCCTCTTGCTTTTGTATCACCTGCCAATTTGTGGACGGTACATCCTCTCATCATCCAGATCATTAATGAAGATGTTTAAAGTGCACTTGTCCCAGTATCAGTTCCTGGGGTACAGCACCAGTGGCTGGCCTGCAGCAGGAGTTCACACTGCCGATTACAACCCTTTGAGCCTGGAAGCTCAGCTGGATTTCAGTCCACCTCACTGTCCACTTATCCAATCCATGCTTCATCAGCTTGTCTATGAGGATGTTACGGGAAGCAGTGGAAAAGGTTTGCTCAAGTTGAGACAACCAGCATCCACTGCTGTCCCCTCATCCACTGAGCTAGTCATCTCACCATAGCAGGCTACCACATCGGTCAAGCACCAACTTCATATAAAAAGTCAATAGGAATTTAAGAGAAATAGTTTGTTTCAAAATCTATATAAAAGCTTGGTGTTTTTAAACAGTGAGAAGCTTTTGCCCAAAATACTGAAGACTAAGTATCTAGACAGACCCAAAGAGAAAACAGGGAGATCTACAGAACCGAGGGTAATGCTGGACAATCACGACTACTTCTTCAGTGACTATATCTGAAAAAATTAATATTTCTAATTGATTTTGCTTCTCTGAACAATGTTATTCAAGGCTATTACTGTAAAAGTATCATTTTCCTCCATCTTATTAGCATCTAATAAATATTCCTTCTTGTTCTTGTGAAAAAGATATCTTCAGTACTTCAGTGAATGAATCATCAGTGATAAAATACACAGTGATTTTACTTTAGCGTTTGTGCATACTAGAGTCTCAGTAGTAGTTTGTAAAGAGTAACAGTAATTCAATTGTACATTCCCATATACAAAGTTGTATAAAATATTTACAAGCATGTATTTGTGTAGAAATGGTCACAGTAATAGTCCCACAAAACAGATCTTCTCAAACATAAACCAGGAGTCTCTCCTTCTCCTGCCTCCACTGTATTTCACACCCTGCTAAACTGCTGTTCCCCTCTGACAACTTACTACACCAAAGGAAGTGATGGGATGAGTAATACTGTGGAATGAAATTCCCCTTATGTGAGTTCCAAGCATTTCTTTTGTGTTTTTCATCTTCCATCTTGCACTTTGGAGAAGCAAGAAAAGAAGCAAGATGACAAAACCACCTACGTGGAGTTGATTTTTTTATGTACTTCCATGACGCACTACAGAAGAAACGAACATCATTGCTTTTTGATGTTGTTCTGTAATGCCAGTTAGCATAACCTTAGGATGCAGCTTTCAAGATTAAAAAAAGATTGTGAAAATTCAAAGCAAGTTATAAAAGCTATAGCTATGTTTTCCCTACCATGCATTTAATTTGCATGTGGACCGCACCTTGCTTGCTCCAATGTCAATCAACCAAAAAATCTTGGTCTGGGAAAGCTTTTATAGTACGGAGAAAATACAGAGAAGAAAATATTTGAGGGGCCCACATAAAACAGTCTTTTTACCATGTTTCTTATTGCACGATAGATCAAAAACATACAGATGTTCATGCACTATTTTTTCTAATTCAGATCTGGAAGTTGTTCTAGGGATGAAGTTAGGAAAGCTAAAGACCAATTGCAATTGAACCTGGCAAGGGATGTCAAAACCAAAAAGAGCTTCTGTAAGTATGTAGGTAACAAATCAAAGGGTAGGGAAAACGTGGGCCCATTGCTGAATGAGATATGGGACCTGGTTACATAAGACATGGAAAAGGCTGATATATGGAAGGCCTTCTCTGCCTCAGTCTTTAGCAGCAAGACTGGCCTTCGGGAATCCCAAGTCCCAGCGACCAGGGAGAAAATGTGGAGTAGGGAAGATGTACCCTTAGTGGAAGAGGATCAGGTAAGGGACTACTTAAGGAAACTGGACATGTCTGAGTCCATCAGCCCCAATGAGATGCACCCACAAGTGCTGAGGGAGCTGGCAGATGTCATTGTGAGGCCACTCTTGGTAATCTTTAATGGATCACAGCAATTGGGAGAAGTGCCCGAAGACTGAAGAAAGTCAAATGTCACTCCTGTCTTCAAGAAGGGCAAGAAGGAAGACCCAGGAAACTACAAATCAATCAGCCTCACCTTGATCCCTGGGAAGGTGATGGAGGAGCTAATTCTATAAATCATTTACAGGCACATGAATAAAAAGAGAATCTTACCAGAAGCAGTCAGCATCAATTCACTAAAGTCATGCTTGACCAACTTGATAAACTGCTATGATGAAATGACTGGCCTGGTGAGAGGGAGAGCAGTGGACATTGTCTATCTGGGCTTCAGTAAGGCTTTGGGCACTGTCTCCCATGAAAGATCCTCCTCCTAGACAAGGAGTTGATGTAACAACTGGATGAGCAGACAGTGAGGTAGACTGAAAACTAGCTCAATGTCTGGGCCCAAAGAGTGGTGATCAGTGGAACAGTCTAGTTGGACGTCAGTAATTAGCAGCATACCCCTGGGGTCAATACTGGGTCAAATCTCATTTAACATCTTCGTTAATGATCTGGCTGATAGGGCAGAGTATACTCTCAGCAAGCTTGCACGTGACACAAAACAGAGGAGTGGCTGATACACCTGAGGGCTGTGCTGCCATCCAGAGGGACCACAACAGGCTGACAGGAACCTCAAAAGTTCAACAAGGAAAAGTGCACAGTCCTACACCTTGGGGAAGAACAACCCCATGCACAAGTACATGCTGGGGGTCACCCAGCTGGAAAGCAGCTTGGCAGAAAAGGACCTGCAGGTCCTGTTGGACACCAAGTTGAACAGGAGCCAGAAATGTGCCCTTGCAGGAAAGAAGGGCTAATGGTATCCTGGGCTGCGTTAGGCCAAGCATTGCCAGCCAGCTGAGGGAGGTGATCCTTTCCCTCTATTCAGCACTGGTGAGGCCACACGTGGTCGGTCACACAGTCACACAGCATGCCCAGCTGTTGGCTTCCAGTAAAAGACAGACATGCACATTCTGGAGAGTCCAATGAAGGGTCTCTAAGATGACTAAGAGAGTAGGGCATCTCTCCTGTAAGGAGAGGCTGAGAGAGCAGGGGCTGTTTACCCTGGAGAAGAGAAGGCTCAGAAAGGGATCTTATCAACGTATATCAATACCCAAAGGAAGGATGTAAAGAAGAGGGAGCTGGGCTCTTTTCAGTGGTGCCCAGTGACAGAACCAGAGGCAGTGAGTACAAAGTAAAACACAAGGGACTTCATCTGAACATCGGGAAACACTTTTTTACTGTGAGGGTTACAGAGCACTAGCACGAGTTGCCCAGAGAGTTACAGAGTCTCCATCCTTGGAGATACTCAAAAGCTATCTAGGCATTGTCAGGGACAACTGGCTCTAGGTGGCCCTGCTTAAACAGTGAAGTTGGACAAGATGATCTCCAGAGCTCCCTTCCAACCTCAACCATTCTGTGATTCTGTGAAGTGATTTCAGTCAAATTTAGATCTTGATTTTGTATATCACGGTCCTTATAATTTCCTTACAGAACCCTAAAGTAGGTCTAAAACACAAACACAAGTCATCTTTGCTGATTTTACTTACATAAAAATAATAAAATCCTAAGTCTCTACAATTTGCTTCCTCTTTTCTTAAATTTTGCTCCCTTGTCCACTCACCTTGATATTGTAAGACTGGGTGAAATCCATCTATTGACATCTTATGACATATTTTTTATCTATATAAGATGACAGCCACAATAACTTGCCTGCATTTATATTGAAACCACAGTCAGAAGCTATTACTCCTTCTAATCCACGTGAATTACATTTTCCCTAACATTCCCGGCAATAAGGAGCACTACAATTCAAATACATCACCTTGCAAATCATATAGGTATGGCAGCATTTAGTATTCCTTTTTTTATACAATATTGTTGCTGTGTTCATGAGAAATTCCAAATATGATAAAAAAAGTATTAAAACTGATACTGTCTTCTTACCAGAAAGTTCAAATACATTCTCCACAGCAGTGGACAATGGGTACCATTTTCACTCTGAACTGCATGTTCAAAAAGAGCTACAATCCGATTTGTTAACCCAGTTTCAGGAATAGTGGAATGTATTTCACCAACATCTGCCCTGAAACACAGAGGAAAAAAGAAACCACAATTCCTTAAACCCAAGCTAAAGGACCACATCCAGGTAAGAGAGGGTAAAGATCGATGTACTGTCTCTGTTCACATAGCACTGTGTATAGCCAGATTTTTGTGTTTCATGCTACAAACTCTGAATGTTATAAACCAGATTTTTAGCATTTGCTAATCTAATCAACATGTTTCTAAATAGGACAATCAGTTAGAAGATAAATGATGCATTTTTGCAAATATTCTTTTAGCATGTTGGAAGACTAACCCTCTCCAACCGGACGAGATAATTTCTCTTTGAGTACACTAACCCACTATCATATGATCTTAAAATACTTATCTTCAGTCTTCATTCAAGATTATTTACCATTCCAAGCCTGGCGTAGCAGCTCAAACCAAACTCAAGTCTAGGTCAGCAAAAGAACTTTTGGTGCCCAGACAAGCTTGTTCAAATTTACCCCTGGCACCTCTGTAAGGCCACATGTTGGTCTTGGATCAAGGTCTAGGTCACAGCTCTGGTTCCCAACCATGAGTACAATAATAATTTTCCTTTTTACCCAGAGATTCAAACCTCCTAAGTTTCAGGCATAATACAAAAGCAGGTACGTATTTTTCACCGAAGCACTGATTTCTGTCTACAGCTGATACAAACTGGCTTATTTTTGACGCTTGAGCTTGAAGAAACAGCCTGGAGCACTCATGGCAACATCACTTTGTCTGTGTGCATTCTCCTAGCCTGCCAGCTTGTTCCACTCACACTTAACACTTACTCCTAACTTGCCTCTTTTTTTGAGGGTCTTTGAGGTCACGTTTCCTCTCATCTTAACCTTTGCCATGAGGAAAAATTATGTAATCTGCTCTGCATGGAGTCAGACATTTCAAGCATTGTAGCTCATGCTGACTTACATAAGATACTGTATTATCCTTCATGTTCATTTCTTTAAACGAATTCCATGCACTAAAACAAGCAGAAGTACAAAACAGAATAGAAAATAGTCACATATAGTACAGACATTTTCTTAGTTTGTCACAACATCATAAAACATTAGTTTTATGCATGACTGACAGGCCATTTATCTCTCTGTTGCAGTAGTTCAGCTCTGCTCTTGCAGCATCCAACTTGCCCCTATACAAATATAACCTATAGGAAAGGCTATGCTAGCAGAGAACAATCTGGAAAGGAACTAGATGTCACAGAGAATATCATCATTCTGGAATTTTAACATCGGTTTCCAGTAACAATAATGCAAACCTATCACACTGACAGTCTGTAATTAACAGTAAATCAAATTACAATCCTCCTTTACATTTGGTGGCTGTTGAATTCTTATTAGAGTTTAGGACGACATACACTGACAGCTCAGGAATGTCACTATCACGTATGCATGCCTGTTGCCAGACTGTGGCAATCAAAGCAGTGGGCACACAGTCATTTTAAAGTATACTGATAATTCCGTAATTTCATCAGGTGTGAATATTATAAGCTTACAGCTATGTAAAGCTTCCAGATAACATTTTCCTAGAAATCTCTGTTGCTATGTACAGACACAAAGAATAAAGCTGCCAATGTTACTAGAGATATGTAGGCAGCAATGGATATGTAGCTCCAAGCAACGGGTAGACAACAGTTAGAGACTAAGCTTTAAGAATGAACACATACCTCTGTTCCTCACATTTCCTATCTTTTCCTCCTTTCCCAGGAGCAAAACATCTGAGCACAAACCACACTGTGAATTCAGGAAATTTCCAGCCTCTTCTACCTAGCAACAGCCTCATATGAAAACTAAATTTGCTATAGAAACAGATCTGCCCAACTGTATTCTGTGATCCAGGAGTAAAGTAAGGCAGCAAGCTCAGCCAGAAACTGCAGCGTAGCTCTTACGCTCCTTATTGCTGTAGTATTAAACTGCAGCAGTTTAATCTCACAGTGCCTACCTTGGCCATTTAAGCAGGCTCTTAGTTATTTAAAAATTACTTAAAAAGAAATGTATACCATCTTGTGGTCATCAGCAAGTAATCAAACACAAAGCAACACATAATCTGATCCAGTAGAAAAGAAGTGAGACTATCATCTAGGCCTTTAATTCACTCAGGATTCTGCCACCGACTCACTGTTCAGCCTTGAACTAATAAGCTTCCCTAGCTACAGCTTCCTCACCTGCAAGGGAGAACTATGACAGCATTTCCTCTCCTCTTAAGTGAGCAGACAGAACAAAAAAAGCATAATCGTGAGGAGCTGCAAGCCATTACCTCTGGACATTCTCAATGAGTTTTTTTCTCATCTGCTCTGCTTGGATTGCAAACAGCCATGGCTCTAAAGAGTTAGTAGACCTTGTGACACCATCAAAAAATCTTCGTGCTTTGCTTGCGCTGTGAGACTTCCTTTGGATGTGGATATATGACCTCCAAAGAGACTGGTTGCTAGGATACCGTTTCAGAGCCTCCGTTAGTGCCTCTCGCAGAGGATTCAAAGGATAAACACTAATTTTCATGTGGAATCTGAGTAAATTTGTATGCAGCAGTGTGACAGCTTCAAGAGCAGTGGGAAGATTTTGAATGCCAAAATTCTCTCCAGTATTTTCACATTTCTCTGGACCAGGAGCTTCAAGTTTTTCCGAAGTCTGTGCATAGATTAATACTGCAGCATCAATCCCAACAGTCAAATACTGGAACAGCGCGTAACAACCAACCAAGTTAACCAGCTGATTAGCATCACTGATCTGATCCTGATCAGAAACTGGTGTTTTATTTAAACAGTCTTGCAGTGCATGCTCATATATTTTACGAGCTTTCAAGACATTCACAGATAACACTGGTCCACTATAGGGTACATATGGTCCACTCTCAGCCAATTTGGTCAATATATGAACAGCACGTGACATAACAGCGCCTTCCAGACTTTCTAGTAGTTCCACTTCCAGCTGGGCATAAAGCAGACTGAGGCTGCAGATCTGGGGACTCTTCAGTCCTCCTGTCCCTGCCGCACAAAGAGCTGTGTCAAATACCTTCCTGGCATCATCGATGTTACCAAGCAGCCATTCTAGGTAGGCATAAAGTTTCCAGAGAGAAAGGTGGTTTCGGTTGTCAGGTGCTTTAAGGAGACTCTTGGCCAACTTTTTACTCTTCCTCCCTTGTGCTTTCAGCTTCTTCTTCTTTTTTGTTTGGAGACACTGAACTACCTGCAGGGGAGAATAAACAGAAGAAATTTTGAGAGGGATGGGAGAAGAAACAAACCAAAAAAAACACCTCACAGCATTTTTTAATTTTATTACTGTGTTTGTTTTCATATTGTTCCAAATTTCAACACCAGTCAGATCTATCGCTACCCAGTACTGTAAGTTGTCACAACTGCCTCTTGTCAGCTCCCTCCAACACAGCCGAATTACAAAGTCTTCTCACTCTTACTCTTGCCGCTGCCATCAAGTAATATCAAATTTCACTCGTCTAAAAGGCCAACTGTTCGAATAAATAGTTGCTAATCAGTAATGGTTGAGAAAAGGAAAATAAACGATCCTGTCTGGCCAGATGCAGCTTATGACTAGCACAATTAAACCTCCAAGTAGCTTTTCACAGCTACTGTGCTGACAGACAAATGTGGAGATTGGATGGGAAGATTACAGGAGATCTTGTGTTCAGGCACTGCTTGGGTAAGAGACAGGTAACTTCTCCATATGGAAACACAATATTAAATTTTCTGAAGTGTTAGGAAAACAACCTGGACCCTCATCCTTCTGTGGGCATCTATTAGAGCTGCTTTACTTAAGTAAATCCATATTCAAGTGATAAGGCTTTATTTCCTTCAATAACACTACAAATGTAACCTGCACAGGAAGTATTAAGTTTCTTGATAAGGAGCTCATATCATGGTATTGGGGATTATGCACCCTGTACAATAGTTTCTTAGAAGTACTTGGCTGACTCACTTTGCCTTCTAAAAAAATCACTTGCATTTGTTTCTGTCTACCATACAACTTACCATATAATAACATTTATCCAGGACTGCAAAATATATTTTGTTACATGTATGCCACTGTGTAACATGTCCTGAAGGAAAGGGTTTGAGGTTTTTTTTTTTAACTCCTGGCGCAATCTTAACTGGCATTTCCCAATTTGAATACTTAGTCCTTCAAGACTTAATTTTCAACAATATTTATTTTAATTCAACATAAACATTAATGCACAAGAAAGCCACACATCAAGAAAGTGATTATATGCAGATTCTTCATTACCTTAGATATTTCATACTGCAACCAACAAATGGACAGGTTAGATTTTTCCTTTCCTGAAAACAACAGGAATAGAACATGAAAAACATTATGTAGGAACTCCTCTCCTTCTTTATAGTGGCCTACGTGATGTCTCCCTCGTAGCATCGTGTCCATATGACCAATACTGTTGAATCCAGAAAGTGGAAAATGAACAGAAGTCAGTGGCTTTTCATCAGAAAGCACACTGTCAAAGATATTATTTTCATCCATGGCAATATAGAGGTTGGAAGGAAAGAGTTTACTTGTACATGGAACTCCGAGGAATTGCAAAAATGAGTATAGTAGTTGACGTTGAAGATCTGGATTAGAAAGCCGGATTAAAGATGGTCCAAGATCATCAAATAATACCTAAAAAAATCCAAATTAAACCAAACTCAGTTAATTTCTGCAATCAAATAAAATCTGCAAACCTGCAATTTATGTAATTAAAAAAATCTTTTCAAGTCAATATTTATAATTACTATTAAATGGTAATAGAATGTCATTCAAATTAAAACTAGACAAGTTAAACGAGAGATGTGTTCTTCCAGTCAGACTGTAAATTTGCTATCAAGAGATTTCTTTGCACTTATCAGAGACCTTCACATTGTGTAAGGAAACTTACACAATGAAGGTCTGAAAGATACTATTGCTTAGGCCGTTTAACACATTTTTGTTTGAAAATCAATGCATAACTTGACCTATCTCCCAAGAAAGAAAAAAAAAATATCCAACTATCTGACTTAAAGGTAACAAAACCTTCGTTTATTTAATGCATGTATCGTCTTAAATACGGATTTCTGTGATGTTTCCACATACAGATGAAAGAAAACGTGGTACAGCAAAGACCGACTGTTTGCCTACAGCCCTTTCCAAAGTTTACCATGATTCAGCAGTCTCAGCAAGAAACCTCAGATAAATTTTGAATTCCAAACAAAATTATTTTTTCCAAATGAAGAAAGGATTACTCCTCTAAAATATCCATTGGCAATGAAGTCAAATGAAACCGAGGGAGGTGATTCTGCCCTTCTACTCAGCTCTCGTGAGACCCCACCTGGAATACTGTGTTCAGCTCTGGAGTCCCCAACACAAGAAGGACATGGAGCTGCTGGAGCAGGTCCAGAGGAGGGCCATGAAGATGATCCGAGGGCTGGAGCACCTCTCCTATGAAGGCAGGCTGAGAGAGTTGGGGCTCTTCAGCCTGGAGAAGAGAAGGCTCCGGGGTGATCTTATTGCAGCCTTCCAGTACCTAAAGGGGGCCTACAGGAAAGCTGGAGAGGGACTTTTTACAAGGGCATATAGTGACAGGACAAGGGGCAATGGCTTTAAATTGAAAGAGGTAGATTTAGATTAGATCTAAGGAAGAAATTTTTCACTCAGAGGGTGGTAAGGCAGTGGAACAGGTTGCCCAGAGAAGTTGTAGATGCCCCATCCCTGGAAGCGTTCAAGGCCAGGTTGGATGAGGCTTTGGGCAACCTGGTGTAGTGGAGGATTTCCCTGCCCATGGCAGGGGTGTTGGAACTAGATGATCTTTGAAGTCCCTTCCAACCCTAACCATTCTATGAAACAATAATTTGTCTTATCATCTCCTCTTGTTTTACTATATCACAGTGACCTGTCTTTCTGGATCTTCACAATCTTCTTCAGCTTCCTTTTTGGTTTTGTCTGGCCTCCAAGGTAACCAATGCCTTGCTTCACGAGAATATTCAATATCCAACCAAATATGCGACTTGGGGAGAGTTTTATCCTTTATTTCTTGATCTTCATCTATCTCCTCTTCATCGTCATCATCATCTTAAACCAAATCAAGACATACACACACACAAAAAATTATTAAAGAAAAATTAATCCACCAAATCCAAAGACCAGACTTGATATACAATTTAAGTACTTCAAAAATGTAAACAAATACAGTGTTAATAAAACGGACACAAGACAGAGATGAAAATTTCCATGTCACAATTCTGGGTTTTGACACCAAATCTGTGAGAGTAGGAAGTTTCCTAACTTTTTGAACCAGTGAATCAGTGTCAACACTAAAGCTCTCTCAAAGAGGAGAAATAAAATGCTGACAGGCTGTGGACCACTTATCAACAGCAGTTTGCAAGAAACAGCCAAGAGTGAATCATCTTTTTGTGTAACTTAGGTTCTTCGCTTCATACCTGAGCATACAATCTGAAACGTGCTCTATGAACACTCATATGCATAAATCATTTTGAGAAAACCACTGTAAGTAAAAAGTAGTACTGTAACGTTAAACATTGCAAACCTAGCTTGGCAATGTTGTTTTAAAATACTTGGTATTTTCAACATTTCAAACTAATGCGCAATTGAAACAACCAAGGTAGTTAAACACATGCAAAAAGGTAGTGCTTAACCACATCCCACTTTTATGATGATCCTTCTGGACTGCTGGACACAATTAGCATATTTTTCCTGTTAGAGCAATATATTAATTCTGTGCTGAGGCTAAGGAAAAGCTTTTTCAAATACCTTTTTTTCTTTCTCGTCGTTGAGGGAAAAAAGTCCTCAAAATTTATGGTTACTTGCACTATTTTTTTGCTACAAAAATCACGTCATTTCTATGCCACCTTGAAGTTCTTGTTCCTGACATTTGCCATTAACTAGATTAAACACTCCCACTCCCAATTCTTAAATTTCAGGTAAAACGGACAAGTGGTGGCAAGATTTTTACTCTCTATATATTTTCTGTGATCCATAACCTCTCCTTTAGTCAGCAACTCAATGAAAAATGACAGCATTTCCACGATCTAATCAAAGTTTGAAAAAAACGGACAGTTTTAGAGATTATACCCAATTATAGACTACATCTGAACTTTTGGGCTTGACACGAATGGCAAAAAGCACTAATATATGCTGGACCTGCCCAAGACTGGCAGTGGTCCTCTTCTCTATACTGAGTCTTCTCAATTCGTGGGCAAAGTGTCTAAAGCCATCAGCAGTGGAACTGCTGACTTCAGTTAAGGAGTAAGAAAATTCCATCTTAATCCAGGGACAACAGAAACGCAGTATCATTTTTTGATTCCTTTGTTTACTAAAAGCAGAGCCAAACAGCCTCATTAGAGTTGCTACAGCATCAGGAGCAGCAAAAGCAGAGACAGATCATCTTTGGTCAGACACATTCCAGCCCCCTGCTTGCCATCAAGATGTATCTATTTGAGAAACAGCCCTTGGCATTAAGGGAAGCACTGCAGACCAGAAGACAAGGTAGGACTATGCAGCAGGGAGGCAGTTTCTGCATCCCTGCTCACCCAGAAGCACTCCAGCCACATGAAGATGCAATTCCTTCATTTTCTGTGTCACAAAGAGTAAGGAAATGTTTTCCTCCTACTTCTACCATATTATTTGCTACAAGAAACTGAAATCTGATTCTAGAAATAGAATCATTACGCTAGGAATCCTTGAGGCAACTATCATCTAATATGATAATTCCATCTGGTCTACCAATATGATGAAAAGGTCTTAAGGGAAGTAGCTTCCTTCCACTTTATATAGGCGTGAGTCTCAACCAAGTACTCGCACCTTTAGCCTTTTCAGCACCAAGTGGAGGATATGCCATTCTCTCCCTCAATTCTCATCCCTAGGAAAGACAACAATATTCCATAAACAGTATCATACATAGAACATTCAACACATACTTTTCCCTGTGAAATGTGATACAGTTTATCTTAATCTTGGTTAGTATTTTTAAAAACTAGTATGTAAAAACATGAGAAGAAACAGCTTGTATCATTCTAACCAAAATGTTTAGAAGAACACATGGACATACAACTACACATATTGACATAGGCATACCAGGCTTAAGAGCAATCCAGCCACCCTTTTCTTGTTGGTGCATCCACGCTTTCCAGCCTCTTGCTCCTTTTTCTCCAATTCGAGGTTCTCCACTATCCCAAAAGGGTTCAAAGAATTCCACCTGTTGTGGGGGAACCAAAACAAAGCATACAGAAAAATAATTTTTCATGTTGTACAGACACTATCTGGCTCAACTTAAGTGACTGTAAGGTCTGGAAAACCTATCCAGGTGCAACTTCTGTAGCTAAAGACTTTGTTAAATGCTGCTTAAAAATCAGCAGAAACAACTGAGTACTTCAATTATGCCTGTGGCACAGCAGGACTCTCATCATCCCTTCTAATGAACATAAAGATTGTTTTTAAAAGGTATTAGGCTTTAAACAAAGCAAAATACTTTTGTGCCAAATGTCCTACACAGATCGAGATGTGGCTTTCATAAACCAAACCTCCCCTCCTCCCCATCTTCCATGGAACTATGAAGAATTTGGCTAATGGAATGATAATTCAGGCAATCACACACCTATAGTTAAATGAAAATGTTAGAGTTGGACCTAAATATGACTGGACTGAGGACAAGAGGCAAAATCAGTAAGGCCTTTCATCTCTCAGGTTTCAGGGTGGTCAACAATTTCAGGGCACCTTCCAGTGAATCACAAGTCCAGGGTTCTAGCTCTGACTTTGTCACTGCCTGTACGTGATCTGCCAAATTTAGATTCATCAATTCCTCCCCTGCTTTGGGTATACTTAGCTCTAATGACCATCTCTCTCCTATTGTATGCTTCTGCTGTGTACCGAACCTTGGCTTGGACATTGAGATGCGACTGTTAATACAAATATTAACAATAAAATTTACTCTCAGAAAAATCAAGCATCAACATATCAGAAAATGCAGGGCTTACAGCAACTGCAAAATCTAATTCTGCTGCTCAGGGATTTATTCCTTGCTCCAAGTGAGAAAGTGAACTGTGAAAACAGTACGGAAACAAGTAATTCAAGATTGAGTCATAACGCTTCTGTGAGAAGGCAGAATGTGCGATCAGCTGTAAACCTGGCATTTTCCTATTTTCAAGAACTGCACATTCCAATCTAAACATTGCCCTTTTAAATTCAGGTTCCTTTCCATCCTGCTTTCTAAAGAGTTTTTAAACACTACAGATAAAATAATTTAAAAAAACTGCAAGATTAAGTATAACTCAAGCTTTATCTGTGTAACTATACCAAATCTCTCATCCTGCATGATAATTATGAATGAACTCTAAACTTTTGGCTCTTTAAGTGGACATCACTATTATTTAAATGACACGATTGTTCCACTGGTGGGCAACAACATTAATTTAGAGAGCAAAAAAATGGAGTCTTAGTAGGGGTTGCTGGGGAAGAAGAGGAGGTAGTAGAAAGAAATTCAGTTTCTCTCCTCTGTGGTAGCCCAGTTGCTTAAATGGTGGCCCTCCCTACCACTCATTAAAAAATAAGCCACTCCTGACAATTCAGTGGGATGATGCTACACTGGCAACAGTCCTCTCTGAACATTAACTTAGTGATTATTATTAGGGGAACATGTCCAACATTCATGATTTTCAATCATGAAAAAGTGATTCAGTACTTTAGCAGGATAAGCTGAATGGAATCTCACGGGTCAAGTAAAAGGTACTTTAAAGCATGAAGATGCTCCTCATGGAGCCATCAAAGAATTACTGAAAACAACAGATAACAGAGAACCTACTGTAATAACCTCTGTGATAACAGAGAACGTTTGCAAGAACTGTCTAGAACAGAAGAAGATTATAGGTCCTATCAGATTTCTCCATCAACAGTAACAAAACAACAGTAGTTTTAGGGAAAAGAAGCAGAGGAAGTGCTAACTAGACACAGACTTTGGTCAGCCAGCTGATTTTTTTCCCATCTTTAATTAGCAAAAAAGCAGATATGAGATGACTGGTTATCATCACACTTCTATTATATACAGTAGAAGCAGTCATTTGGCATGCAGTTCCAGAGGACCCACAAGCATTTTTCCAATGCAAGCATCACCTTGAAGAACTGCAAAGTAAGCTGTGATTCAAAGTATTTCCCTATGCCCTTAAAAATTCATCAAAGTTTTTCTGCTACAGCATTCTCTGTAACACATGAGGACACACATGCATCTACATGGAAATCGCTACCTGGCCCCTTGTTGGTAGATCTTTCACACTGTCAGGTTTAAAGAAGGTGAAGTCAATCAGAGCCTGAAACAAAGACACCGCTTTCTCAGAATGGCCAGCCTGTCTCAGAAAGTGGCACTGCTGAATAAATATAGCTGTAAAGTAAAGAAGATAAAATTTTAAGATTTCAGATAAACTTTGTTGTGAAGTATTTCATTTCAGCTCACAAATATACAAGGACATACATGCAGTGCCATAGAGCATAATTATTTTGGAACAGTACTGAAATTCGAAACATAGGGAGTAACTAGCACAAACGCATGTCAACATTGTTATAGATCAATTAACTTTAAGACCGCTCACTTGAAACGCACCAAACAGATGACTTTTCATTCATGCTACACATGCACTGTCCTTGCTGATGAAAAAAAGTTATACACAATGGTCCCAACTTTAGTTTATCCAACATCTGTCAGAGTGGGTCATAGACCTCTGAAGATGCTGGGCATGATTATAACTTACACAGTTAAGTAATTACAACAAAAATTCTTCTTGCCTAACTTCCGCATGAGATAGTTACATTGGTAATATTTGGTAATATGCCATTTTAATTCCAATTGTCATTCCCATTTTCTTCTCCTTTACATAAGAACAGTCAAGAGACGTCTGGTCTTTTGGCCAAAGGATTACTGCTTGTTTGTAGAGAAGAGTCCTACCCCTTGTTCTTCAACAAATTATTTCTGTAATGACTGCCATATCGTACTACACACTGACCTCAAGTCTCAGCATAAAAAGAGAAGTGAAGTCCCAGTTTTTCTATTCACAGATTCACAATGAGAGTCTTAAATGAAAGAGCTGGTGAAACTAATAGGCATTATAAACACCTCTATTACTAGGCAGTTCAAGATATTCAGAGATATTCCATCACTCCAAATTACACTCAAGTCTTAACAAAACAGTGGCTTTTCAAAAAACAAATTGCTTTAAATCATAATCTTAATTGGCTTGCAAAAAAAAAAAAAACAAGCCCATAAATCAATAACTAAACAATTCACTGACAGTCTTGAAAACAATTCTTCAAAAACTATTCTTTTTTCGCTAAATGCATTGGCTTTGGAGGGTTTTAAACAATCAAAATATTTAAGTGTCTACATACACACATGTAACAACACAGGTTAACATCAATTGCTTATAATGATTGTCTTATTTTTTAATATTAAGAAGTGGCCAATGATTTACTCCTTTTACTAGTATTCAGATTTACATCAGATGTATGCACATAAAAATTTGAATTCAGCTAAAACATACAAGCTAGGCATTTCATTTGATTTTCCTGTGAAGTCAATGGTTGTTTCCGATAACAAAGACTCTGAGATTTCTGAAGATAGTCAAACAACAAAAAGTATGTTTAAGTATATAATAGAATCTTCCAAAGTATTTTAACCAATTTAGGCACTTTCTCCATCAATTTCAGTATCCAACTGACACTGGAAAAGTTGTCCTTTCCTAGTTTCTCAGCTTCAAACAGATAAATTTTGATTAAATAGTCAGAATGTGGAGAATATCTCATCAGGACTTGCTGCCAAGCTGGAGATAAAATTAAATTAGAGCATAAGATTTTCCGCATGATAAAAAAAACACCCACCTATATTTGAAGAAATGCAAAATTCAGCATTTTCTTTGTGGTAAAAACTGAAAACAGTAATAATACATACTTAATTCAGTCCATGATGCTAAGACACTTCTGCAGCTGAACTAACCTAAAAGATAAGGATGTTTCTCCCCAATCAGTAGGTATAATTTGAAAAATAGGACTCCCTTTCCACAGTAAAATTTCAAAATACTTACCTTCATTTGCTTTACATTAACAGATCCTAGTAAATTTAAGATATTACAAATTGCTATCTCAAAATTTACGTAAAAACTGATCTATAATTTTAAATCAATTTTTAGCTGCTTTCTTAAATTTCATGTTTTAAAAAAGCACCCACTTATTTCCAAGCAGATACTACTGTGTACTGAATTGAACACTAGATGGCACAATCCACCACAATTTAAAATTAGCTCTTACACTCATTAGCAAAGGTCAAATGTTGAAGATATAAGCCTACCATACATCTACACTGCTACTCACCTCCTAATTCATTTGTGAAACTCTTTGTATATCTATCTTAACGAACACTTCCTAATCAGTATACTATCAGTTCAAATTCAGCCCAAGAATTAGATACTTGAGTCACTAAAAAAAAAAAAATAATAATCTCAGATAAAGAGGCCTTCCCACTGAAAATTTCTCCACTCCTATCATTTGAATTTCAAAGCAAAAAAAACCAAAACAAAACAAAATCCACACAAACAAATCAAAACCCTCAACCATAAACAAATGACTATAGCCTTAATACAGAATGAGACATTAAGAGTGGAATAGAAACACAAAGTTTCTTTCATTTTCATTTTAACTTATCTATAGACACTGCAGCAAACAAGTATTTTGAAAAATGTCAATCTAATATAGTTAACTAGTTACAGCAACTCCATTAAAAAAAAAAATTCTCATAGCAGTTGACAAACAGAATTTGATGAGTCAAATATGTTCTGTGCAGGGAAACAAAATGAAAGAAAAACTTTCCTGTTTGAAAAAATTGATGCTGAATAAAACATTTGTTCTGAGAACCATTCATTGTGGTTACTGCACAAAGTGACTGAAGTGTTGGAAATCAGACAGCAGAAGCAACTAGAAGCTATCAGGCAGTACAGTATCAACCTGCCAGCACAGGACTGTTCCTTTACAGCACTTTTTCCAGTGCTTGATCCAAGATGAATTAAACTGAAGACCATAAGAGATCTGAACTCCTGAAATTCATTTGTAATCCAGCATCTCAATCTCTAAGTCCAGACTGGATACTGCATAACAGACAGCATCATTGCTCAAACAGCAGTTACAGGACTTGGATAAAAATAGAAGTTCCTTGGACTATGCCACATACGAAGAAATATGGACTGCTTCATAATAAGTCTCCTCTAGATTTAAAACAAACTTTAAAAGGAAAAAAAAAAAACCAAAGATATTCATGGTGACGCTAATACTTCCCCCTCCTCGGTGTATTCATAGATTAATAATTACAACAACCCTACGAGGTAGAGAAGCAAAATTCAAATGGGATAGGTTAAAGTCATTTAGCTCCAAATAAATTTACAGTCCATGCCAGAACTGAGCATGAACTTGTTTCTTCCCTGGATCCAGTCCAGCATCCTAATCATCTGACAAATTTTCCTTCCAGGGATAATTATATAATAAATTATAAGTGGTAGATATATGCATACAATAAATCCAAAAGCCATGATCACATGGTATTACAGTTTAAAATTGTCCTTTTACGAACCGAGATGCTCAAGAAAATGTCACATCAGACTTCCCATGTGCCTTCTCTTTTCTGGATTAAAGTAATTAACTGGAAAGCTTTTGAACAACAGATAATTGTTTCTTTCACCAGCCAATCTTTTTTTTTTTTTTTTAATAAACATTTTTCAAAGATAAAAGCACATCTCTTGGCTGTTGGCTGCAATTCTCCAGCCTTGACATTTGTACTGTAAACCACTCAGAACATTAGACTTTACTGAATGTTATATCACAAACTCTCCTGGGGAAGAAAAGCATCTGCTATATCCATATTTGGTTGGAATATCTGCTTTAATTCTCAGCTGAGAAATCAGGCATTTTGAAGAAAATTAAAATTTCCTGTAATACATAGGAAAGACTATTCTTATAGAGAATGTAGACAACTCCTATGAAGACCATTCTGACCATAACAGGAAACAGAAAGAACCTTACCTAGCATAGCTTCTTCTGTACCAGGCAGTAGAGGATGTGACACCATGCTACCATCCTGCACAGCTGCCAACGTAGTTAAACATTTTCCATAGAGACTATTGATTTTTGAAACAGAAAAGGTAGTGAACTGACTTTGACAGAACAGGAGATATTTCTTCCACAGCTCTGGATTATTGGGATGTAAGAAAATTAGCTTCTGCCATTCTTTGATCAAAGCTGGTGGTTCCCAGAACTCTGCACAAAGCTTCAGCCTGGCGAGTTTCAGATCAACATTACTTGGATTGCTTTCAATCGCCCTCTCTAAAATAGCCAGTTTCTTTTCTAAGATTAACTTCAGCGATTTTCTTCTTACTTCCTGCTCTCCCTTACTGGCATAAGGGCTAGGTCCTCTCATTAATTCATCCTTAAAAGAAAAGAAGAATCATGACAACATTAGGAAGAATCATCACTAAAATCATGAGAAGAATGCGGACATTTGTGAAGATGAACTAAGATCTCTTTCTTTACCAATAGAAGACACATAGTCCTAAACAAAGGAAATGACAAGATAATGTTCATAGAATTAATAACAAGCAACCAGGTCTGTCAGAACACATACCTGAAAAGAAACAAATTCCATCCAAGCATTAACATCTCTTGGGTTTTCTCTGACTTTCTTGTTATGTTCTTCCACTTTTGTTATTAGAACAGAGTTAATGTTTATCCCAGGTTCTTGAATTGTTTGCTGCGTATTTACAGACTCATGATCTGCACCTTTGCACCCTTTTCCTTGTAGCCATACTGTAGTTGATGGATCATAAATCCCAAGAGGATTTACCTCCGTTGTGTCAGAAGGATCATCAGTTTCCATTTGGAAAACTGGTATAAAAGCAGTTGAGTCAGATGGAGAACTTTTCTTGCAAACAGGAATCCCATCTGTGTTCAGCATCTTCACATTGTTCTTTGTGAAGTAACGCTCAGGTCGCCTCTGTAATTGCTTCCCTTTTGATGCAGAACTGTCCCAAATTATACACTGTTTCTTTGCATCTATGCCAAGACAGGACTCTCCTCTCCTTTTATATCTTAGAAAAAAAAATACAATTAAACATCATCTAAAATACACGTTAGAAAAGATTCCTCCTTTTTGAAACAAAGCATGGAAGAAGTACTTTAATTCAAATTGACCCAAATAATGTATGCACAGACCTTCAAAAGTGTAAGAACTTGATAACTTTCTCCTTAATTAAGACTTCAATTCATAAATTTTTTCAGTGCCATCGCAACTTTTATTATCATATTAAGCTTCCTCTGAGTTCAACAGTATCTTTCATACTCAGCAGAAGAAAAATTACTTTTTCTTCCTATCATTTTAAGCCATCTAGACAAACTTGGAGAAAGAACAACAGATGGCATTATTTAAGACTATTTAGATTAGATTATTTTAAACTGAAAAATCAGAAACGAGTGTTCAGTCTGGTAATATCTTTCTGTATCCCTAAGCCTCTATACATTTTATATGCCAAGAAGCAGACATGGAGGAGCAGGGGGAGAAGAGAGACCAGGTTCATAAAAGCCACAATAATCCTATGGATTAAGAAAGGAAAACATCATCTTAAAATATTACCAAGAATGTCATTTCAATGGCAGACATAGTGACGTGCAATGTTAAAATAACACTTTTCATCTCAATAGCTGAGAATCCAAAGGTGGCAGAAATTGGAACGGGTTGTAACCAGGCAATTTTACTGCAAAGGTATATACAATTCAAAAATAAAACCCATAAATCCTCCCTCCTCCACAAATAATTACTTTTTAGATATAGTAAATAATCTTCCTTGAGAACATCAAGAAGTAACTGTACATACATAACGCACGAGCCCAGTGTAGGCTCTTTTAGATGGGGTTCTCCCTTAATGTGGGGAAATGTTCTGAAGGGCCATCATCATACTAGCAACCAATTAAGGGTGTTGAATACATAACTTCATCTATACTCATTTGAACTGTAGCAATGCACAAGACAGGTATCCTTTGGTACAATGTCTGGGTGATCTAACACGGAATCTGCTTGCTAAGAAAGTAACGGTACCTTTTTTTTTTCCCCAAGGGTATCAAACTACTCAGGTACGTAAACCTCTTGACAAGTCTAGTATAAAATAATCAGATCAGTACCTTCATTTCCCTTCAGACACAGAAGCAGAACAACGGAGATCAACAATTGGCACTCACCCAAAGATGATCTATAACAGAACCCGGGATTCCTGACCTCAAAAGCATGCTTTTGAATCTGCCCCATGCTGCCATGTCCAGATGGCAGTTCTACAAGTTCACGTGCCTGCAGTCTACTACACAGAGAATGTTTTTAGAAAGCAACAAAAATCGTGCACTTCATTCCCATTATTTCATGGCATCTTTGCCTTTTACAATATTTAAACAAAACCCAAAGTCAAATTTTGGAATAAACAATTCAGTTATCTTATTATCTCATCTTCTACACAAAAATTTCAGAGCCAGGCTCAAGTTCATGAATCTTGAAACAGTGACTCTGTGGTAGTTTGAATACCAATAGAAACCAACGTATTGTACCTTGCTATGTCCCCTCGATATAGCGACTTGTAGGCCCAGTTTGCAGGGTCTGGTTTCTTGTCTATCCTGAAGGTTTCTGCTGTGAAAGCCTGGATATCATCAAGCCAAACAAAGCGATTGCTGGTAAGATTTGATGTTTTCTTATCTAGACTGTAGAAAAGGAGAAGTAGTATATTCTAAACGTTTCTGTACGTATTCAGCATTTACAAAACCCAGGAAACACTGCATTTCTGTAGTTCATAATAATTTAATTTACTTAACGTAAATTAAATGGTACATTATCCATTAATGTAAAGGCAGCCATGCACCTGGAAAAAAAACAACTAGAAATACACTAATAGGACCATCAAAACAAAACACAAACACTTCTTGCACTTCCAAAAATTGGATTTAGGATTATGAAAGGTAATAACCAGATTTAACTAATAAATTGCTTGGCAAACTATAATCTGAAAGCCATATATTAGTAATTTAAAAATTTACTTTTGTCTTAGTAAGATGCTGCAATTAGGAAAAAGAGGATAATATGTAAAAGGATTATGTTGATTAGCTGTAATTATATCCATGCATTTGGTAAAACAATGTGCAAAGTGGTTTATGGATTGCAGTTATACAAATAAGTGGAAATTGCCACCTACGTCCAAACTGTAGACAACTATGAACTTCCAAATCTGAATTCATGTTATAAGTATGTAACTTAGTAAATGAGTTTTACAGTCTTGAAAAGCTTTCTAAAATTTCATTTAGAACAATTTTGTGGTTCAGGTTTCAAAAACAGCCTCCTGAAAACTCAATATTCTCTCAGTATCAACAATTTATGGAAAGAAGTGAAAATAAACACCTTGAAAGAACTTCAGCCCTTTCATTTGAGCAAAGCACTGACTGGTTGGCCCAGTATAGCAAACAGCTGATGAACCAGATTCAGCACACAAATCCATTCCAACCAGCCCAGACACTTCCAGCAAAGACAAGAGCAACTGGGTGGAGCGGAATGGTCTTGGCATCCCAATGATTTTTATTGTGCTTCCTCACGGCCAAGCCTCAGCCACCACGAGTCAACAACAGTCTTCATACAGGAGGAGGTGAAAGTGGCTAGTGGCATCAGACAACACCTCCAAGTATCACCGCCATTCTTCCACAATGTTAAGATCCTTGAGCATAAACACATGCCCACAAGCCTGTGCTCTCAGCTCCTGGTTAAACTGCTTTGGGAAAAGTAGTAAACTGAGGGAAAGTCAAGGACTGCCTGGACTACACTCAGCTGTAACAACAATTCTTCAATGTCACCAAATCCTCACTCTGTCCCCAGAAGCAGCTGCAGTGCTGTGAAGCAGAGCACAAGCTGCTGATGCTAAAGAAAAAGACAGGAACTAGGGAACCAGAGAGAGGCAAAATGGCTGCTCAACCTAGCAAACATGATGAGAAACACAGAAAGGTGACTTACGCAGGCAGTTACACTGGGCCACTTTGAATGAAATGATCAAAACCCAACAGGCTGAGAAAAGCACAGCTAGGTATGCCAAACTTGAATACTCAGTGCATTCACAGAAGCTTTTACTGCTCAAAGATCATGCTAGTCACTGGATAGCTATTTTCTTGTTCCATAAAAAAACGACACCTTCACTAATTACAGTACTTTAGAGCTCCCGGAATTAAAAAAAAAGGTCTAGTATAACAATTTCAACTGTTCAAATATCCATCCAGACGTACCATGAATCACAGAATCATAGAATGGTTTGGGTTGGAAGGGACCTCAAAGATCATGTAGTTCCAACCCCCCTGCCATGCACAGGGACACCCTCCAGTACACCAGGTTGCCCAAAGCCTCATCCCACCTGGCCTTGAACATTTCCAGGGATGGGGCATCCACAGCTTCTCTGGGAAACCTGTTCCAGTGCCTCACTACCCTCAATGTAAAAAATTTCTGCCTTACATCTAATCTAAATCTGCCCTCTTTCAGTTTAAAGCCATTGCCCCTTGTCCTATCACTATACATACCCTTGTAAAAAGTCCCCCTCCAGCTTTCCTGTAGGCCCGAAACAAAAAGTATGAAGCACACAGCATGGAGCAATAAATGGCTGGACATAAAGAGAAATGTTAAATCGTACAACAAAGTTTGTCTTAATAGGAAAAAAAGGAAATGTTAACTCTATGAGGAGGAAGTTATATTATGAGGCAAACAGAGCTCTATATTAAGACTTTTGCACTCATTAAGAATAATGTTTAATGCAATCCCTCTCCAAACTTTCCCAAAAGAAGATCCATGAAAGGAAACAAGATGCTTACAAGAACTCAAAATAAGTCTCTACATGTTTTTAAAAATATTACTGCCATATCATGCTTTGTTCTGCAGAACAGCACTTCACGGAATATTTTAGTTACGTTTTCAGATATGATGGTTCTAATTCTAATTCTGTTTTCATTGCTTTGAATACAGGTTTAGTCATATACAGCTTAGAAAAAAATGACCCACCAGTGGTAAGAATTTCATTCATAAAGTTGAAAAGACAAGTACAAGAAGACAATGAATATACGTCTTGCATAGTATTAATAAATACATACTTTGCTGCTGCTTCCTTTTGATGATTTCTGCCACTTCCTGAGGCTTTGTCCTTGATGTGCTTAGTGTCCAGGTCCGATTCACTGCTACTGGTGTCCCCTTTGGTTTTGTTTTTTGTCTTCTTATAGTGGTGATGCTTTCTCTTTTTCTTTTTCCTTTTCTTACTTGATTGTTTCAGACTCTCATCCGTATCACTTTCCCCTGACAACTCTGATCTTGAAGTAGTCCTGCTTGGAAACAAGTATATATCTCTATACACACCTATATATCTAAGAAGTAAAACTGTGAAGAAATACCACCGTAAGAAAGTTCAGAATCATTTTACCCTTTACCTTTATTCTTCCTGTATCTGTGGAGAACAGAGCAGCAACGCATGCAATGAAAGTGATACAAATCTGCATTAAAATAACAACTATATTTTTGACAGCTGCTGGGATTACTGACAGTCTTAAAGTTTTAATTGTCAAGCCATTTTGAGGTGTATCTGTATAAATATCCATCTGCTATCATCCTCAATTTAAAGATGACTGAGCTGATAAAATTTCTTAACTTTGCTAAGACAACTTAGGTCAAGCTAAAAGGATGAGAAATCCTTCAAGGTGATCTGCAAAAGAAAAAGTCTGCCTTTTTTTTCCTTGTTTCTTTACGATTTATATTAAAAATATCAAAAAAACATAGTTTTACAATGACTTCTAGATTAGAAATTCAAACCTCACCAATCAAGGAACAATTTTTGATGAGTACTGAATTAATGTTATCATATAATATAATGTAGTAACAAACACTACATGCAACAGACAACTGGTTTACTGAGAGATCACACAAAGCACAGACAGTTTTGGCAAAACACATATGTATCCTTGTACATACTACATACACTGCCACGCTTAATAATCAACTGAAATAATGGAGGTCTTCTCTAACCCTTAATTAAAGCATAAGCTCTTTATAAACAGTTTTTCTGGAATATTTCAATAAAAGAAAGGAGTGACAAGATTCGGTATTCCTAATGCGTCAATAAAAGAAAATGCAGCATTTCAGAAGCAAGGCACCTCAAAAAAACACCTTACACAATTTATTTAATTGCACTAAGAAAAAAGAAGCCATGGGGGAACCATTAGCAGGCCTTTAAAATAAACACACGCTTCCCCAAACAAAACCAAAAAAAACAAAGCCCACCAACTATGTTGGAGTAATTAGTTTTTGTTGAACTGAAAATGTACCCGAGTAATAGGCAAAAATATCAAACATTTCTCTGTACACTATTTTTTGACAAATTCTTTTTCAAAGATTAATTAAATATGGTGGGTTTACTATGTCATTCTCTCTGAATGGTAATTTGCAAATTGCTTAGTTTTATGACATTAAAGGCCTGAAAAGATTTGAAGAAATATAAGCAGAATATATGACTGATAAACAGAATAGTGATTGCATTTCAATCACACAATACATGGAAATGTAAGAATAAGTATACAAAAATATGTATTCAGCTGTGATTGTTATTATAAAGGCATTCTCTGTCATGACCATCAACAGTCATCGTAAACATGTAAACATGAGCATCTATCAAATAAAAAGTGACTAAGTTTTTGAACTTGGAAACTGCAACTTGATGCTATTAATTATTATGTGCTAGTTATAGAGTAGATATGCCAAGCATAGCAACTATTCTAGTAAAGGTATTAAAACTAGTTCTTCAGCAAATGTGGCTGCTTAAAGCTCATTTTTGTAATATAATCACTCACTTCAGTGATCAGCATGTTCTACACAGCCGTACAACTTGATACACGTAATATTTCATTAATTCTCATCTTCAACTAGTTTTTAAAAAGTAAAAACTTGACTGTGAAATGGCTCATTGAACTGGTTTTCACAAAGAAATCACAAAGATGATGCTTCATCTTTACGTTACTTCAAGGGTCACTTAGGACATTCAAAAGCTAATGAAGAGTCATGATCACTCAGCTCCCTTTCCATTCTGAAATAATAATGATTTAAATGCAGCTGTGAGAAAAAGAAAATGGGAAAGTAATTGCATAAGTATAATTTCTCATTATTTTAAGTTAAAGGACATGGAAGCATTATTCATACTCTTATATATGACTCAGTTCGGGCCTTTTTAAACACTGAACAGTGAAATGAAAAGCAGCCCTAAAAGCTCCTGATTTTGGCCTCACATAACAAAAGATAAGCAGGACAAAGGAAAGAGGTTACTTTAAAAGATACTGAAGTATATTCTACCTTATTAGTGGTGATTTTTCAGAGATGAGATTTGCAACTTCTGTAGTCCGCTGATGCAATAATAGTGCCTCTTCCGTAGAGAAGCTCGGGTTACTAAGCCAGTCCAACTCTGCAGGTAAAGAAAAGTGTGAAATCAATACAAATTAGCTGGCTGTGCTTTTCAAAGTTGGCGCTTAATCTAGTCAGCAGACAGCTAAATTTGCAGCAAACGTCACTTAAGTCACGTGTAATAACTGAGCGTATCGGAAAGCGGTCCATGAAATTTCCATTTAGCAGAACACTAGGTTGTAATGAGGTAAAACATTGAGGAGCTGGAATCTTCCCCAACATCAGTCTAAGCTTTAAAACACCCACTATATAATAATACTTAAAAGTTCATACTGAAAACAGATGATACACTTAAAGGCCAAATCTGTCCAATATTAATTTTTACTATGTACAAATTGTAACTTTATATATGTATGCATTGCATAAACATGTTATGTATGCAGAATTCTATAAGATCTTCTAATGTATCCTCATATATTTTACATATTATTTATAATTATATAGAGTATATAGATATTTACATATTTAAAGAGTGAAATAGAAAAAATTACAGAAGGGCATCATTAAATGAAAGGTGTAGATAAAGAATGCAATACAATTTATGCAAACTTACAAAAGTGTACTTTGCTCACTGTACGGAAAATATTTTTAACATGATTTTACGGATAGGGACACCCATTACTGATAAGAATACTCAAGTGTTTTATACAAGGCAAAAACGTGTCACTGGATTCTCAGTTCTCCAACCACCAAAATACCATTAGACTCTTAAACAGTGTGAAAAAAAGGCTAATAGATGCTAATTTTGATATATTAGTCAGCATTAAGCATTCTGCATCTAGATCTCAGTCATTTCAGTCATCGGATAAGATCAGATACTGATACGATGTGGAGGGGGATTTTTTTGCCATAATTTTACTGGTATTGAAACTTCTATAACAATTTTTCATGGAGATTTATTTTCTAAAATTTTCTTTTTAAGTATGTGAAATTTCCTAACATACTAAACAACAAACGTCATTTCACATAACACAGCATTTATAATCAGCCTGTCCCATGCCAGGCCACAGGAGATAACAACAAAAGGAACAAACGTGGTCTCCCTGCCTGTTCGCCATGCTCTTTACAACCATTTTTGCCTCGGAGTTCTTCCTGCCACACTCTTGTCTTTGTGCTTTTGACTACACCGACCTCTAATCCATAAGGAGCATGCACTCATTGTCTGCCAAGCCATGCACCTCTCCTCCTTCTAAAGTATTTCTTTCACAAATAGCTCTTCATACCAAAATTCTTTCTTTCTGCTCACGTCCCTGAATTGTTGTCCACAAAAGGATTTAAAATGGAGCAGGCTGCAAAACAGTTTGTTAACCTCAGTTAAGCTCATCAAGAAGTATATACAATCAAGCAAAGCTCCAGTTTGCATTTCCCAAGAAGTCTGTCCCTGCTACCAAAGGCCCCGTGGGGATAGTCACCTTCCCTGGTTCATCTGGAACCTCCATCTCTGTGCAGAGGAGAACCCACAATTCATGGCACTGTCAGGACCAAAACACGCTTCCCACCAGCACCCCAATCAGTATGCTGCAGGAGGCTGCCAAGCACCATTTCCCAGCTCACCACAACGTAGGATGTAGACCAAAAAATAAAAATTCAGCTGTATGATGCATGTGTATCATTGTAACCTACTGCCCAGCAATCAGAATCACCATACCTAAGGCAAGTACACTACCCTACTTTGTTGCAAATCAACATGAGATTTTATTTTTTTCTCCCTTACAGGAAAATACTTAAAGATATATTAATGTAAAAGTAGAATAAAAGTTGAAACCTTAAAACTGTGATCATAGATTCATAGATTTCTAGGTTGGAA